CTCATTTTGTACACCAGGCTGACCTCAAACTCATAGACTATCCACCTGCTTCTGCCACCTGAGTGCTGGGACTAAAGGTATGCACCACCACTACCCAGATAACATTTTATTTTATTTTTTTTAAGATAGTCTCCAAGCTCTGTCTAGGTTAATCTCAAGCTTCTGGGTTCAAGTGATCTTCTTGCCTCTCCAATAGTTAGAAAAAAATAAACCTTTTTATTTTATTTTATTTTATTTTATTTTATCTTTTATTCTAGCTGTCTTAGAATCTGTATGTACCTTAGGCTGGCCTTGAACTTGTGACAATCCTCTTTCCTCAGACTCCCAAGTACTGGGATTACAGGCATAAACTACTACTCTGTCTAGTTGGACAATGCTAAATTTCATATTTAAACTACATGTATATTGGCATTCTCAAGTACCATAAAACACTAAAAATTTTTTATTAACATTCTTTTTATCTAAATTTTATTTAACTTTTTTGTTGTTGTTATTTTTGGTTTTTTGAAACAGGATTTCTCTGTAGCTTTGGAATCTGTCCTGGGACTTGCTCTATAGACCAGGCTGGGCTCGAACTCACAGAGATCCGCCTGCCTCTGCCTCCCTGAGTGCTGGGATTAAAGGCGTGCGCCACCACTGTCTGGCTATTTAACTTTATTTTATGTGCACTGGTGTGAAGGGTATCAGATCCCTTGGAACTGGAGTTACAGACAGTTGTGAGCTGCCATGTGGGTGCTGGGAACTGAACCCAGGTCCTCTGGAAGAGCAGCCAGTGCTCTTAACAGCTGAGTCATCTCTCCAGCTCCTAACACTAAAATTTTTATTTGTGTAATATAAAGTTTTGTATACATTTTACAAATCTCTGTTCCAGTGTCATCATATTCAGAAAGATGGGAGTTAAATCTGGCTCATGCCAATGCAGTAAAATGGTTCTAAATCACTAAAAATTATGCTGAAAAATTTAAGATGACATAATTCTAAGAAATATTACACTAATTTTTTTAATGGATTTTTTGAGGCAGGATTTCTTTGTAGCTTTGGAATCTGTACTGGGACTTGCTCTATAGACCAGGCTGGGCTCGAACTCGCAGAGATCTACCTGCCTCTGCCTCCCAAGTGCTGAAATTAAAGGAATGCTCCCCTACCACCTGGCTCTACACTAATAGTTTTTTTATGAAAGTCTAGAAAGTGATATAATTTATTTTAGGAAAATTGTTAAAAGGGTAAATTTTGAGAAAGTTAAATAGAGGAATGAAATGTTGCAAAGCCAGACATCTTCAATGTATTTTTCTGAGTGTGTGAATTCAGCCCTTGAAATGGGGCTGAAAAAAATCTATTAAATTTCAGAAAAGAGACCTTGCTTTTCAAAAAAGATGTTTAAATTTAGCATTATTCAAAATTTAAAATCCTTTAACATGTCATTTAGATCTGAAATTATAAAGAACATTTTCCCTTAGAAACTTTAGCATAGCTGAGGTGGAAACTGTCTATTTATTGAACTTGGCTTTTGTTAGGCCTAGAATCAATATCTCATCTTAATTTTAATATTTTTTTCTTAAAACCAGATTTTACTGTGTAGCCTTGGTTAGCCTAGAACTTGTTCTGTAGACCAGGCTGGTCTCAGACTCACAGAGATCCACCTGCCTCTGCTTCCCAAGTGCTGGAGTTAAAAGCTTGCACCACTATGCCCAACTAAAACACATATGGATCACTTAGTTATCTTGGACAATGTCCTGGGTTGTATCTGCCTCCATCCCAACTGAATGGAAGGAGACAGACACACACTGAAGTCTTGAAGTTTCAGGAAGTTACTGGTAACACATCATCTTTATTTAGGGATTTGGAACTGGGGTTAAACTGATAATTCTAACATCTCTATTTTAGTAGCAATTGGAATGATGCTTGGAGACTTCTCTGAATTAAAGAGAACAGTATACAACGTTGTTTTACTTATAGATTACTGCTCAATTTATGAGTAATTGCTAGCAAATGAAGATATTAATCTCTGGATGCTACACTATTAAGGACAAGATAGATACATTAGAACTGCCTGCTTCCCTGGGGCCTGCACTGTAGCCTAGGAGTAGAGTGTGTGTCTGGCATGCCTGAGGCCTGAGCTCCATCCTCAGCACCTGAACAGAGGCACAGCCTGGGATGTGGTCACTGGCACAGAACTTTTCTAGCATGTGCAAGGCGCTGGCTTCGGCTCCCACCCCAGTGTTTGAAAACAGGGCTCAGTTTTGTTTTGTTTTGTTTTGAGACAAGGCCTTGCTGTGTATGCAGTTCTGACTAGCCTAGAACTTGGTATGTACATCAGGTTGGCTTCAAATTAGCAGCAATCTTCCTGCCTCTGCCCCTACCTCCCAAGTGCTGGGATTATAGGCACGCAACCAGCTCTAAAATTCAGTTTTTAAAATCACTGTAGAGTTTAATTGATAACGTAGTCAGGCAGTGGTGGCAGAAGCCTTTAGTTCCAGCACTCAGGAGGCAGAGGAGGAGCTCTGTGAGTTTGAGGCCAGCCTGGTCTACATAGTTCCAGTCCAGCCAGAGCTACATAGTAAGATCCTGTCTAAAAAAAGAGAGTCAAGGGCTGGAGAGATGGCTCAGTGGTTAAGAGCATTGCCTGCTCTTCCAAAGGTCCTGAGTTCAATTCCCAGCAACCACATGGTGGCTCACAACCATCTGTAATGAGGTCTGGTGCCCTCTTCTGGCCTGCAAACATACACACAGAAAGAATATTGTATACATAATAAATAAATAAACATTTTTAAAAAGAGAGACAAAAATTAACAGCTTAAAGAAAGAGAAGTACATTTCAAGAAAGTTAATGACTAGAATAATGACAAACTCTGAACATAATCAAAATACTTCCAGTTTAAACTTAATTTTATTAAAATGAATAAGGAATTAAATAAAGTTTAGCAAATACAACATTAGGTATCAAAAACATTTAGCACAACACAGTTCTTCTGAGATAACAGTGCACACTGCTAGTGGACTGCTAATAAGATTTCCAGAACACACAGAGGCTGTCAAAGGCATGTTCAAACCTGCAATCATTTGATTGAGTACTATTTACATAAGGACGCTGACCTTGAGAATAATCCCACAAAGGCGGTAGTGTTTATTTCTTAGACATAAAGTGGTTCTGCCATTACACCTTCTCCTAGGCTCCTCATGCTGGCTCTGCTCTCCAAAAGTGAGCAGTTACCCTAGAAACAAAGTCCTGAAAGTGTCGCAGAGTCAGCCCAGGATAAGGAACTCACAAGCAGCTGCTGAGGAGCAGTGCCCAACTTTGCCGCTGGATCCCACCAGCTGCCACGTACTGACTGAGGGGGACAGATGGTGTCATCCACAAGTGTGAGAGGAATCTATGGGTTCACATGGTTAAAAGAGTCATCACAAGATATAAACTTCAGTTCTAAAACAAGTAGTTATGTTGTGTGTACACCACCACTAACAAGGAGTAGTGCTATGATGGAAAAGGAAAGCCCACCCTAGAAATCAAAGCCAAAGGAGGCCAAGGGGAGCACTGGAAAAAGGAAAGGCGTGCTGGGACCCTGGGTCTCAAGCGATCGTGGAGACTGATGTGGTTTGGGAGAGACGGGAGACATTGTGTCTCTGGTGGAAAATGGGCTCAGTGTTTTGTGGCCGTCCTAGTCTAGTCAGGCCTAGTGCTCTCGGCTCCTCATTCTCAAAGGCTCCATTATTTTGTGGTTAATTAGACGGCCTGTTACTTATCCCCCTGAACAAATGCTTCCTTCAGTTAAAACTCAAAATCACTTTAGTTCTGATGATAAATGTACTCAGCAAAATCAACTGGATCACAATTGTGGAAATCACAAATTTGTTTCCAAATTTATTTTATCTATTAACAATTAAATGAAAAACTTGCCAATTTACTTTTTAGAGAGAGAAAAAAGAGCCAGGCAGTGGTGGTTTACACCTTTAATCCCAGCACTCGGGAGGGAGAGGCAGGTGGATCTCTGTGAGTTCGAGGCCAGTCTGATCTACAAGAGCTAGTTTCAGAACAGGCTCCAAAACTACAGAGAACCCTGTCTCAAAAAAGTAAAACAAAACAAAAAAACCAAAACAACAACAACAACAATGAAAAGCTTCTTTGATAAAATTTCTAAAAACGACTTTGGTGAAAACTTATGTGTCATTCAAGGAATTAAAGCAAACTTCATAATTACACATTTCTGTCTCTAAGAAAATAAAATTATCTTTTAGAAAAAGATTTATATTTATCCTATGTGTACGGGTGTTTTGCCTAGATAGATGGATAGGTGGATGTGCACCATGTGTGTCTGCAGAGGCCAGAAGAAGGCATGGATCCCCTGGAATGGGAGTTACAGATGGTTTTAAGCTATGTGGGTACTGGAGACTGAACCCAAGTTCTCTGTAATAACAGTCAGTTCTTAGCCCCAGAAAATGAAATTATCTATTTATCAAAGTCTTTAGAGGTGGATGTGGTGGCATAAACCTTTAATCCCAGTACGTGGGAGGCAAAGGCAGGAAGATCTCTGTGAGTTTGAGACAAGCCTGGTCTACAGAGCGAGTTTCAAGACAACTAGTGGTATGTAGAGAAACTCTTGAGTCAAAAAAAATCAAAAATAAATAAAAATAAATAAGTATAATCTTTAAAATACTGTTCATAGTAACATTTGATTTTTTTTTCCTTTTCAAGATAAGGTCACATTGAAATCACTAGTGCTTCAGAAGTAAAAATAGTTATTTTTTAAAGTGGTTATGGAAATATCACAGACAGAGGAAATATTAAGGGCTCTGAGGTGTTACTTTGTATTCTAGTACTTGCTGTTACCAAAGGCTGCCCAGGCTAATTGTTACAGATCATTTCTTCAACTGAGCAGAAGAAAATGAATGAGGTTTATAAAAGCAAGACTCTTCCCCCACCCCCAAATCTTCAAATAAACTTCCTACTAGTCAAAAAAAAATTTTCCTACTAGTAGAATTATAATTGGACAGCACAAAGGCAATTAATTTTGATCCTTCTGTATTGATGGTGTTATCACAATTTTTATTTCTCCACAATTTTCACTGCTCCCCAGTCCTATCAAATTTTCTGAGCCCTTTTGTTAAATTCATGAATTTTCTTTACACCCTGCCATTGAAGACAATTTCCTTATCTCCCAGTGTTTTGAGGAAAAGAAGTCCAGTGGGAAGGTACTGGTGGGCTAGGGATCCAGTTCAGAGGTAGAGGGCTCCTTTAGCTCATACAAAGCCTTGCATTTGACTGGGGGCCGGGGACCAGGGCATGGGAAGAGAAAGCAAGAGCTCTAGAGTTCCCTGCGGTTCAGGTCCCTTCCTAGGAAGTGGAGGTGAAGGGAGTGGTAGGTCTTCTCAATTGGCCTGGAGTTCTTTCTGCCTGTCTCTGCTCTCTGGCTACTCTGAGCATGTATGCTTTCAGTTCCCATCATCAAAGCCTACTTTCTGGGATAGGGAGGACAGGCTTACCAAGAAGTGGGAGTTACTTGTGAAGATTGTTCTGGCAATTTACTTTCATTATGTTTATCTCCTGCTTCAATTCTCTGCTCTAATCCCCAGGGAAATTACAAGATGATTCCATTATCTGAAGATCCTCTATTTGTAGACCTTTTGTATGATTGTCTTGCAGAAAATATATTGTATATGTGTCTATATGTATAAAATATACATATAGCATGCATTCTGTTAGTTCATACAAAATATAAATGAAATATAAGATTTATTTTGTAACCATATGCTGAGAAGGTGGTAAAGAATGTGACTTACATAAAGAACATTCTAAAACAATATTACAAATCCTCACAAACATTTGGGCCATATTTGCTCAACCTAAGCAAAGTGAACAGATAGCACTAGTTAGCAAATGTGAATCTGTTCTGAATAAAGCAGAATTAGCTCCTGAAGAGTCACACAAATAGGTTAAGCAGGCTGCAGACTCTTGGACAGTTTAACATTCTGAGTTTACCAAGACCTGGAGAGGCAGAGCTCATTTTCTAGAAAAGTAACAACACATTCTTGGGTTTGCTTGTTATTTGACATTAATCAGAGTAAAGCACTTACAGCTATAATCCTGTGCAGCTGGAGTTTCTAGTTAATTAGATTATCAGAAGTCCAACAGGTGCTACCCTTGGATGTGAAAAATCATCACTCTCCTAAGCACTAGTCTGGTGACACGGTCTTTAAGTGACAAGGTTCTTGACTTAGGAGGAGGAAGTACTCATGGACAAGTACAGCACCTCCTTGTGGAAGTTCGCCTGAGCATGCAGGAGATGGAACAAATTCAGGAAGCCTCTGTCATCATCATCACGCTCTCCTGTGACACATATACAGGAACAGACCGCAGGGAGAGGAAAGAGTTAAACATTTGAGCACATGGCTTAGGAATGCAAGTTGTTCTAAGTGTTTCTAATAATATTTAAAGAGAAGAATTTTTGTTGATGATCTTTACTAAGCCAGGCTTTCACCACTAAAGCTATGAAATTAGACACTAGATAGAAAACAGGAAAGAACTCTGGTCTAAGCTTTAGCATCTTTTAATTTATGACCTTGGGAAAGTCAGGTTATTTCTATGTTTCCTTTTTCTCATCTATAACACAAGGCTAATTAGCTGGAGAGATGGCTTATTGGTAAAGAGCACCAGCCAGAGCCGGGTAGTGGTGACACACGCCTTTAATCCCAGTGGCAGGTGGATCTCTGTGAGTTCGAGGCCAGCCTGGTCTACAAGAGCTAGTTCCAGGACAGGCTCCAAAGATACAGAGAAACCCTGTCTTGAAAAACAAAAAGCAAACAAACAAACAAAACCCACAAAAAACAACCAACCAACCAAAAAACAGGGTTCATTGTCATGTTGGTCCCCTAGTAAACTAAATTAGTATCTATTAAAACCTATATAAGGTCCAGTTTCGTAGTCTCATGCCTCTAGTGTCAGCATTTGGAAGGCACAGTTACCTATCTGTGAGTTCAAGGCTAGCTTGGTCTACATAGCGAATTCCATGCCAGCCAGGACTAGAGAAAGAGAGAGAGAGAGAGAGAGAGAGAGAGAGAGACAGACAGACAGACAGACAGACAGACAGACAGACAGAAAGACAGACACCCTATCTCACAAAATCAAAATTAATCTCCCAGGCACGGTTTTACTTTGTAGCCCAGGCTGGCTCAAACTTCAGATCTTTGCTCAGCCTCGAGTAGACGGACCATAGGTATGCACAACCAAGCCCCGCCTGTTGCATCTGAGGCTGAGACCCGAAGGCACTATCACTCACTCCTACGTGCTGTCTACACTCTCACTTACCAGACATGATAGGCTGCAGCATTTCCATGGTGACACAGGCAAAGGCATTGGCCACGCTCTGCAGGAAGCTCTTTCTCTCTGCTGCAGTGCTGAAGACCTTGCAGACCTTCTGCATCATTCTCACTGTCCAGTCCATGCAGTACAGCTCCTTCTCACACACCTGAGTCAGATGCACAAAGCACTACTATCAGTCTGCATGTGACAAAAGCTGTAAAGCTTAAAGTGGCAGTGACAATGACAGCTTAGATGTAGCAGAGTTTACTACACAGGGCAGGCTGATGATGTAGCAGTTTATTGAATAAGATACCCCACTGAGTCTGCAATGGGAAATGCTCAGTAAGTGCGTAAGACAATGTGGTAGCACGTGCCTGTAATCCCAGCATTCAAATTCAAGGTCACCTTTGCTTACATAGTGAGTTTGGGGCCAGCCTGGGCAATATAAGACTGTCTCAAAAACCAAAAACAAACAAATAAAATATGTATTTTAATATGTAATATTATTTTTATTTTCTTTAGTTTTTTGAGACAGGGTTTCTTTCTTTTTTCCTTTCTTTCTTTCTTTTTTTTGTTTTTGTTTTTCGAGACAGGGTTTCTCTGTAGCTTTGGAGCCTGTCCTGGAAGTAGATCTTGTAGACCAGGCTGGCCTCAAACTCACAGAGATCCACCTGCCTCTGCTTCCTGAGTGCTGGGATTAAAGGTGTATGCCATGACTGTCCATCAATATTTAATTTTTTAATAATTTTTTTCTCTAAATCTCAGTTCCTGGGTAGACTGTGTGTATATGTGCATGTGTGTATGTGTGTGTGTGTGTGTGTGTTTGTATGTATGAGAGAGAGAGAGAGAGAGAGAGAGAGAGAGAGAGCGGCCTGGGGCTTTGTAAGCACCAGGGAAGCAGCTCCATTGCTGGGTCAAATGAATGCTAAATAACTTGTCAGAGAAAACCTTAGTCTTTACTTACCAAAGCCAAAAAGACTATGAGTCTTGCCAGCTCGATGGCCCTTCCGTTCACAGCTTTACTAGCCATGAAAGTGAAGCAGATGTTGTTCCCGCTCAGGATTAGAAGGCGTGCATTATTCTCCAGCAGCCATTCCCTGGGAACCACTTTTATCAGAGGAAGAACAGTTATTTAATGAGAAATTACACAACTGCTGTAGTAAACATCTTTAAACACATTCAACATTATATTACTTATTGGAAATGTAATTAGTGCTAAGGGAAATACTCAGAAACAATGTTTTAGGTTTGTTCTTTCTTTCCTTTTTGAGACAGGGTTTCTGTGTGCATTCCTGGCTGTCCTGGAACTTACTCTGTAGATCAGACTGACTTCAGAGATCTGCCTGTCTCTGCCTCATGAGTGCTGGATTAAAGGTGTTTGTCACTGTGTCTGTCAATTACAGCATTCAGCCAGAGACAGGGATCACCCCATGTCATGGCGTTTTACCATTGTGTTGCCATAGCTGAGTCAAAGCAATTTTTCTTCACATTCTTCAGCAGGCAAAGTGACATGCCATGTAAGGACAAAGCCCCTGTAAACATCAGAGTAACTACTTAACCCCTCCCATACAGCACCAGAGGGCTTTTATATAATCTAAAGGGTATGTATGTGTGAGAACTCGTAAATGAGAGCAAGCAAACTCATTAAACTATGAAGTGACCTAATTATATTATATATAAAATTGGGAACTGAATTCCTCCTGGGGAACTGTTGGCTTTGATGGCTGCTATGGTAATGGGAGTCATTGTTTCAGTTGTGTACCCACTGGGGAGTCTAACAGGCTCCGAGTGACAGTTCCATACCCATGGTCATGTGGACAGACCTGGTTAATCTTAGTGAGTCACAAAACAAAAAGATATGATAGAGAGAAAGTCTTATAGGGAGGAGGAAGGGAGTCTATGGGGGGAGGGAGCTAAAAGAGGGTGAGGAGCAAAAATAATCAGAATGCATTATATAAATGCATGAAATTGTCAAAGAACAAATTTAATTCAAAAAATTGCAAATTGAAATAAACACATTCTTAAACCACATGTATTTACATACTATACACACACACACACACGCACACACACACACACACACACACACACACACACACAAACATAAAACTAAAAATGTTTCGGAGCAGTAAGTAACAAAACATACTTAAAACTACATATTGAGCAATTAGTGATTTCTAATACTCTCTTAATTATTACCTAGGGAATTGTCCATATAATTTTATAGCTGTATTCTAAACATAAATTTTTATTACTCTATATTAGTAAATACACATTTTACCTGATAGTTCATCTACAAGACTGATAACATCATCTGCTGTCCACTCTTTGGTACCTGTGTCATACAGTAGCTTAATGGCATTAGCCAAACCTTTCAGACTGGATTCATCTGTGGGCCCTTCCACCATTTCCTGCCAAATCACCTGCCCTGGATTGAAACAATAAGTAGGCTATGACAGAATAGATAGTTTTGTGAAAAAGACTTCAGGATTTGTTTAGAATGGAAAGAATTACACAATCCCATTACTTATATAAACTACATTCATCATTAAAATGTAAATTCTAATATCATTATAAATTTGAGTTTCTCATTAACTGTGATGAAACACAGCAACAGTTTCTAAACCAAGCAACTAAAAGAGTTGGAACTTGAAGAACAGTGTTTTTGTTCTCTCTCCTGAGGAGCTTGTACCCATGCTCTGGTAAGTCTTCCTTTCAGCAATTCTCTGAGAAACCCACACTCATGTTGTCATGTTACTTTCTTCTGAGAAAGAGTTCTCTTAACTCTCTGCTTAAGCCTATATTAACATATATTTTTAATTTAAATTTTTGTTACTGGGGATTATAGGGGTTTTGCTTTATATTATTTTATGTGTATGAATGTTTGCCTGCATATATGTCTATACAACATGTGTATGCCTAGTGCCAGCAGAAGTCAGAAGAAAGTGTTAGATCCCCTTGTTATGGAAGTTACAGATAGTTTTGAACTACCATGTGGGTGCTGGGAATCAAACCTAGGTTCTCTGGAAGAACAGTCAGTACTCTTAGCCACTGAGTCATCTCTCCAACCTTTTATATTAACATACATTTATTTATTTGTTTGTTTGTTTGCTTGTTTTGAGATAGGGTTCTTTGTAGCTTTGGAGCCTGTCCTACAACTAGCTCTTGTAGAGCAGGCCGGCCTCAAATTCACAGAGACCCACCTGCCTCTGCCTCCCAAGTACTGGGATTAAAGGAGTGTGCCACCATTGCCCGGTTTAACATATATTTATTAAGCCCTAATTCTGCTTCAAAATAAAACAAAACAAACAAACAAACAAACAAGAACAGTGCTTTTATCTATTTATTATTTGTTTTGTCCTTTTCATGTGTGAGTGTCCATGCATATGAAGGTTAGGGTGTTCTTCCTTAAGAATCATCCACTTTTTTATTTTTTGCTTTTTTTTTTTTGAGACAGAGTCTTTCACTGGGACCTGGGGCTCACTGCTCAGGTTAATATGGCTGGGAGGCCCAGGGATATGCCCACTGCTGCATCCTCAGTGCTGGGATTACTAGCGCAAGCCATTACACCCAGATTTTATTTTTATAATTTATTTTTATTTTGTGTGCATTAGTGTTTTGCCTTCATGTTTATCTGTGTGAGGATGCCGGATCCCCTGAAACTGGGGTCACAGACAGTTGTGAGCCGCCATGTGGGTTCTCGGAATTGAACCCAGGTCCTCTTGAAGAGCAGCCAGTAGTACTCTTAACTGCTGAGCCATCTTGCCAGCCCCTACACCCAGATTTTTACCTGGGTACTGGGGACCAAAGTCAGTTCTTCATGTTTGCACAGAAAGCACATTATCTACTGAGCTATCTCCCAGCCTCAAAGAATAGTGTTTTTAGTTCAAAGATATTACCTTATAATGCAGATTAGAATATCAACTGCTATAATTTTACTATAATCAAGTAAAATCTATTGGTATCCTTCTAGAAAGGAGCTTGCTTCTATTGGTATCTTTCAAACATTTACATCACAACAGAGTAGCTCAGGCATCTATTATTTATCTCTCACAATCTTCTCTGCAGCTTATACACAACAACATTTTAATTTTAAAATAAAAGTCCTGGGTGCTAACCAATATGCATTAAAACTGGTTTTCTACTGATAAAAGTAGAATAAGAAAATGTAAGATAATTTTTGACACTAATGTAAGCACAGCCTAGGTAATAAACTTTTTAAAAAGTTATGAATCTGTTTTGTTTTTTAGTATCATTAGCCCCCTTAAGTTGCAAATACAACCTTGAGTTACATTAATGTTTAAGATGGAAAAGCAGACAGATATGGTGGCCCACATCTTTAATCCCAGCACTTGGAAGGCAGAGGCAGGCAGATCTGTGAGTCTGAGGCCAGCCTGGTCTACAGAGTGAGTTCCATGACAGTCAGGACTACAGAGAAACCCTCTCTCAAAAAGAGAAAGGGGGCGGGGCAGGAATATACCTGGTTTTGACCCAGAGAAGAACAATTCCTGTCTCGAAGCTCGGGGTATGCACAAGTTAATGCAGTATGTTTTGAAACTGTGAAGCACATTTTAAACTAGCAATGATGAAGCTGAGTAAAGACAAAAGACCTTCCCAGGGTCTTTAACGTGGCTCAGTGGGTAAAGGTGTAAAGATGCTTGCTGTCAACCTGATGACCTGAAGTCCATCCCAGAATCCCACAGTATAAAGTGAGAAGTGATGCCTGCAAGATGTCCTCTGATCTCCACGGACATGCACATTACACACATACAAAATAAATAGTAAATAGACGGTAATTATTTATTTTTGAGAAAAAGTCCTACTGTGGTGGTTTGAGTAGGTATGACCCCCCAAAGATACATGGATTTGAATGCCCATGGGGAGGGGCACTATTAAGAGGTGTGGCCTTGTTGGAGAAAGGGTGCAACTGTGGAGGCAGGCTCTGAGGTCTTATATGCTCAAGCTATGCCCACGTGTGACACAGTTCACATCCTACTGCCTGAGAATCAGGATGTAGAACTCTCAGTTCCTTCTCCAGCACTGTGTCTGCCTGCACGCCACCTGCCATGATGATAATGGACTAAATCTCTGAAACTGTAAGCCAGCCCCAATGAAATGCTTTCCTTTATAAGAGTTGTTGTGGCCATGGTGTCCCTACACAGCTATAGACCCTAAGTCACTTACTATGCATCTCTGACTAGTCCGGAACTCTGTGTGTCAGAATACAGTCCAAGAATGGTGTCATGTGAGAAGAATTCTGGGTACTTGTGAGAAACCTCCAATAAAACAACCGAGGGACTCAGTTTCTTCAAAAGTATGAAATTTTTCTTGGGATATGTTTCCATGCTTTTCCCAGGTGTAGCAGACAGAAGTGAATTTATTTCAGATTATTCATTACAAATAGCAATTGTTATTTGTTTATATGCCTCTATAGAAAAACATGTTTTTACTGTGTATGGCTTGTCCTTGTGATATAACACTTTAGTAATATAAATCTTCTTCTTTTCGAGACACGGTTTCTCTGTGTAACAGCCCTGGCTGTCCTGGAACTCACTTTGCAGACCAGGCTGGCCTTAAATCACAGAGATCTGCCTGCCTCTGCCTCCTGAGTTCTGGGATTAAAACCATGCACCACCACCGCCTGGCTTCATGTGACTCTTTTTAGAAATTGTCTGATGTTCTGAATAAAGTTGGCTATTGTGTGAGATTTTAGTCTGCCTCATTTTTAGGTTCCATTCTTCCAGGTCCCACTGCCCCTAGAGTGGTAAAAAGATGTGTAGAATAGCCTGGCCTTGAACTCACAGAGACCTGCTACCTCTACCTCCTGAGGAGTGCTGGGACTAAAAGTGTGCATCAACTCGTAGAGTTTTTAAAAGTCTTCTTAATGTTAAAGTAATTAACCAGGTATATAACACACATCCCTGAAAAAAAATGGTGCTTACCATCCTGAGGAGATGTTGGTCCAAAGATAATATATAGCAATCTTGCCTGATTCACCATTGGCCATGGTTTTAATATTCGAGTCAACCAAAATGCAGAATCACTTCGTTGTGTCCAGTGATCAAGGAGAACATTTCTACAGAACAGTCTAATCCTTAACTCCAGCTTTCGGGCACTTCCTATAGATAAAAAGTTGTAAATCATTTTTTTTTAGAAAGATAAGTTTCATAGTGGATAGTGATCAGAGCCAGGTGTTAACCACTGTGGTTAAAAGAGAGATCATAAACTGAGTGTGTAAACAGGAAGTCACCAAGAAGTAAAAGGTGCCCTAACTTTGGAGTTTGACTTTCTTCTTGTGCTTACTTTCCTTATTTAGTTTCAATACTTTGAATAATGGTTAAGTCAAATCCATACTCAATTTTACCAGAATCTTATGTAGTTTTAGATTTATGTATTTAGACAGGGTTTCCTGTATCCCAGGCTGGCCTTGGACTCAGTATATAGCTAAGGATGACTGTGAGTTTCTGACCCGCCTGGTTCCCACTCCAAAGTGCTGAAATGATAGGCATGTATCACCACGATCAGTTTTATTCATTGTTGGGGCAGGCTAGGAAAGCATTCTACCACCACTTGAACTATATGTCCAGACCCCAAATTGACTCTTAAAGCATGAGACAGAAAAATAGTATTAGGAAAATGAGAAAATGAAAAAGGTTCCCAGTGAGATACAACAAAGGCATAAAGGGCATTGGAGACACAGTGAACAGAAAGAACAATATGTTCAAATCAGACTAAAACAGTGCACAGGAAGTGTGATTATTTTTGACACAGAATCTCTCTGTGTAGCTCTGGTTATCCTGGAACTCAGTATAGAGGCCAGCCAGGCCTCAAACTCACAGAGATTCACCGAGTCTGCCTCTTGAATGCTGGGATTAAAGGTCTGTACAATGAGTTTGAGAAAGTAGGTGGGGACCAGAATCTGAAGGCTAGTTTATATAGCTTAGATTTTATTTTGAATATGTTAGGGAGAAGTTTTTTATCAGAGAAAATGCATGTTAAATTGTGTTGTCACATGCCTTTAATCCCAGCACTCAGCAGGCCTTGAATTCACAGACATTTGCCTGCCTCTGCCTCCCAAGTGTTGAGATTAAAGACGTGCACCAACACGGCCTGAGTCATCGCTTTTTTAAAAAGTGAAATGTTCCAAGTTGACAGAAAGGAAAAATAGAATGAGAAATACAGTATACAAATCAAGTAATTTAGCCAAAGTTTTATATCTATGTTTGCTTCTGGGTTTTAAAATAAATAAATATTAGAAATGTTGAGTTTTTAGTTTATCATTTCCAATCACTTTCCCCAGAAGAATCACCATCTTGGATTTAGAGTTTGTCCCTGTCCCTTCTATGCTGTCAGAGAAATAACCAACAGGAAGTAGATCACATCCATATGGTATCCTGGTTTCTGTGGTGCTGGGATCGGATTGAACCCACCACCAACTGAGCTACATCCCACCCCTCCACAACTTGTCTTATGCATACTTTTGAATTCTACCTCTTCTGAACATTTTACTTCTATACAATATTATCTTTGAAGTGAAGGTCTTTACCTGCTTTGTTACAGACAACAGTCTGCATCTTACGGGAGAGATTAGTCAACTCGCATAAGAAGTTATAAACACGGTGGCACTCAAGTTCATCCCAACCCGCTGTTAAGGTCTGAGGAAAACAGAAGAAACATTGCACAAGTTCAGACACAAATTGGAAGGGTAAGCCACTACTTCCTAGGAAAAACAGGCCGTTTGTAGTATACGACCTACGTGATATGCAGTTTTTGCCCTCAATTCACAAGAAATCTATATAGTCACAACCTAGAAATTCTCCAAAATCTTGCTTCTTTTCGTTAGAAGAAAGTTTTACTTACTTACTTATTTATTTATTTCAAGATAGGGTTTCTTTGTGTAGCCCTGGCTGTCCTGGAACTCACTATGTAGACCAGGCTGGCCTTGAACTCAAAGATCTGCCTGCTTCTCCTGAGTTTGTGTGCCACAAATACCCAGAAAAATTTAAGGTTTCTATAAATTTATTTTTATTTTTATTGATGTGTATGTGTCTCTGTGAGGTTATGTCACACAAGTGAAGGTGCTTGTGGAAGCGAGAGGAGTGGGAGCTACAGACAATTGTGGGCTGCCCTGATGTGCTGCTGGAAACCAAACTTTGGTGCTCTGCAAGAACATCAAGTGTTCTTAGCTGGTCTCTATAGCTTTCTCAGTTTGTATTTCTCTCACCACTGTCTACGAGTGGCCTCAAACCCTAGCTCTGCCTGTAGGAAGTCTGAGTAATGGGACTCTAGTCCTGGTTTTGTGAATCAGTTTTTAAACTTAAATTAAATCAAACTCTAAACTAATTATTAATTAATTTTTGTGTATATGTGTGTGTGTGTGACCAAAGAGCCCACACATACAGCACAGAAGGATGTCAGGTGTCTTCCTCTACATGATCCTATTTTTTTGGGACACTCCCTCACCAAACTTAGAACTTGTAGTTTTTGGCTATGCTAGCAGCCAGTAAGCCTCATGGATGAAATTACAGGTCACCATGACAATGGAAGCTGGGGATTCGAACTTACACATCAATTACTTTACCTACTGGACCAGCTTTCAGCTTCTGTGGCTTGGTTTTACAGTAGACTGTCTAAGACTTTTACACCTGCCATTTTGATATTGCTTACAATTGATAATGATATTATTTTAATATGGCAATTGATTATAACTTGTTTGTTTTTAATAAATGAAAAAACAGACAATTTAATAACTGTCTGGATAATATAAAAATATACAAATATATAAAAAGTAGATTTTAAAAAGCATACAACTATATAAATTCATTAATTATGTACTTTATTAATTTGTTTACTTACTTTTTACTATTTATTTACAAGGTCTCACTATGCAACCCTGACTGACCTAGAAGTCATTAAGTAGACTGGGCTGGCCTCTGTCTCCAGAGTACTGGTGTTCACCACCACTCTTAGCCCCCCCCATATAAATCCTTAAAATAACTGGATTTCAGTGGTTTAAAAACTAAACCTTCTGGGACAGTGGGATGGCTCATCAGGTGAAGGGAACACCCGCCCACACTGGAGGGAGCACAGCTCCTCCAAGCTGTCACTCTTACAGTGACACAGATACAAACGTTTTTAAAAATTTAGATTTATTTTATTTTATGTGTATAAATGTTTTGCTTGCATATATGTATATGTACTGTGCGTGCCTGATGCCCAAGAAGGTCAGAAGAGGGCTGTAGGACCTCCTTCAACTGGAGTTGGGATGGTTATGGGTCACTGTGTGCATCCTGTGAGCTGAAGCTGGATCCTCTGGAAGAGCAGCCAGCCCATATCTGCTGATCGTCTCTCCAGACCTACACACATCAAAAATAGTCTTCAATCCCAGCACTCCATGATTTAACTTCATTCCTTCCAGAATGAGAGAAATTGCTAAGCAGTGATTATTTCTGGTGAAAGGAAATCAGAGGATGGGAGATAAGCCTGGGAGGAAGACTTTTACTTTAAATATTTTGTTCCTTTTGAATTTTACATGAATGCATATCTTAATACTTAATCCAAAGATAGAAAGTACAACATAAATGGAAAAAAGTAAAAAAGTGTTTTGTAAGATTGCCAGTAGGGTCCTAGACTCTGGGTGCATAAGAGCTGGTGGCTGGTAGCCTGGGATACAGCATAAGATTTTCAGGATGGATGTGGTAAGAGCCTAAGGTGGCTGTAAATTTTAATTAGATAATCATGAAGACTGTTTAGGGCAGTGTCTGGCACAAAGTATAAAGCTTAATAAATGGCACCTTTAACTTTAATCTGTTTAAAAGAGATTAGTAAATATTACTGAAATAATAATCTGATTTCTAAAGTCACATTCCAGGAAACTAGTCCATAAATTTAAACTGAAAATACTCATAAAAAAGCTGGGTGTAATGATGCACTACTTTAATCCCAGCACTTGGGAGGCAGAGGCAGCAAATTTCTGAGTTCGCGGCCATTTTGATTTACATAATGAGTTCCAGGACAGCCAGGGCCACATAGTGAGACCATGACTAAGGAAATAAATTACAAACACATGCACACATCTGTGCCTTTAGTCTCCTATGGCTAGTGGCTTGGGTTGCAGGTCAGAGATAAAGTGCTTACCTAGTATGCCTAATGACTTAGACTCAATCCTCAGCTCGTTCTCTCTCTCTCTCTCTCTCTCTCTCTCTCTCTCTCTCTCTCTCTCTCACACACACACACACACACACACACACACACACAAAACCAAACAAAACTTAAAAACATTTGTATAAAGTAAATAAATGCTAAACATTCTCACTAGTTAAAAAAAGTCAAATATACTCTTAACAAATTTTTACAATGTTATTTTGCTTTACTAGAGCTTCTATTAATGTACATAGAAATTCCATACTCTTCTTGTTAACAGTTCAAAATCATTCTTTCATTAAACAATGTACCTGTAAAAATATGCCATAACATGGTAATCCTAAACATTGCAAAGGAGCTGAACAGCCGCTGAATTTAAAACAGGAAACCTATAAAGAGAGCAACTGTTAGTGGATCTATACAATAACTTTACACTCAGTTTACTGGAGATATCTTTTTGTTGTTGTTTTGTTTTTATTTTTTGAGACAGGGTTTCTCTGTGTAACCCTGGCTGTTCAGGCTGACCTTGAACTCAAAGATCCACCTGCCTCTACTTCCCTCTGCTGAGATTAAAGGCCTCTGTGCTACCATGCCTGGAAATGGGCGGTACCTTGAGACAGGGTCTAGCTTTTATTATAGAAAGAAACTTTGCAACAGAGACCATTGCAGAAAATCTCAACAAATCAAAATGCAGAGGAACAAGGGATTCTGTGGTATCCAGCCCCAAATGATGCATCTCCAACACAATTCCTGTACCAAATCTGAGATCATCTAGGGAGAGGGATGGAAAGACTGTGAGAGTCACAGGAACAGGAACTCTGCTGTGAGAGTGTTTCCTAGAAATATCAGGGAAGCCACACCCATGAAGTCTCATCAGCATGGCTCTCTAAATAAGACCTGAACAAGGAAGACACTAATAGACAGGCTGACAGGGAAAGGGGAAATCTCACGGGACCCCAAACCTAAACAAAAAAGGCAACTGAGGCATGCTAAGAGCAGGAGAAATAGCCTTCCCCAGGGAAGAGGCATCCAACTGGTTATCCAATAATGAGTGGTCACCCCTAAAATAATGTATATACAAATAACAGTATACGAACTGAGAAGGCTATATTTATATATTTAGGAGTGTGTATATGTGTGTATATACAACAGAAAAAAAGAAGGCATGAATTTGAGATAAAGAAGCGGGTATATGAGAGGGGTTGGAGGAAAAAGGGGGAAAGGAAGGCAGAATTCCCAACATCCATGTAATAACAGCTAAGTGTGGTAATAAGAGCCTGTAACCCCAGTGCTAGGGATGGGTTTGAAGAGAGACAGGTGGATCCCCAGGGCTTTCAGGTCTGTCAGACTAGCTGAAACAGCAAGCTGGAGCTCCAGGTTCAGCAACAAATGTCTCCAAAACATAAGATGGAGTCTAGTGTGGTTGCACACACCTTTAATCTCAGCACTAGAGATGCAGAGACAGCCTGATCTCCATAAGTTTGAGGCTAGCCTGGTCTACATAGAGTTCCAGGCTCCCCAAGACTCAAAAATAAAAAACCCCAAACAAAAACAAACAAACAAACAAAACCAAAAAAACTCCCCTCCCAAAACAATAAAAAACAAACAAACATAAACTTGAGAGGCTGGAAGAATGGCTCAGCAGATTAGAGCACTTGCTGCTCTTGTAGAGGACCTGTGCTCAGATCTCAGAATCCACATGATGACTCAACCATCCATAAACTCCAGTTCCAGGGGAACCTTTGCCTTCTTCTGACTTTTGCATGCACCAGGCATGCGCATAGTACACATATATACACTCAGGCAAAATATTCACATGAATAAAAAATCTTATTAAAAGATATAAACTGATTAAAGAAATAAAAGAGGAAAAAAAGATATAAAGTGGAGAGCCAGGTTTGGTGGCACATACCTTTAATCCCAGCATTTAGGAGGCAGAGGCAGGCAGAGCTCTGTGTTTGAGGTCAGTCTCAATAACAAGAACAAAAATGTCGAGAAGTTTTCTGACATCAGCTGTGGCCATGACAGTGATATACAGGTTCATACACACAACAACAACAAACACACACAATTTCAGCCTAAGGGTATAACTCAGTTATAGTTATATAGCATACAAGAGTACAAGAGGCCCAAGGTTCAATCTCAGCACAGCAAAACAAAACAAAAATCCCAAGTCTTTATAGTTTAGTACACTTACATAAAGATTTTAACATTTAGAAATTATTTCATTTTAATAAAATACCTAAATCTTTACTTTTTTCCTTTTAAATCTTATTAAAGTTTAAAAGAAAAACACCCAGGGCAGGTAAGCTATAAATCTCAGCAGCTGAGGAGGAGAGGAGAGGAGAGGAGAGGAGAGAAGGAAGAAAAGTCATGCCATTTAAGTTGGCATGGAGGTCAGCCACATGCAGACAAACAACCAATGGAAGGCAGCCAGCTTCAGAGAAAAAGAAAGGAAGCCCACAGGATTCAAAAAGCCTGCTGAGGCTCTGCCCCACATCTGGGAGAAAGAGACAGAAGCGGAGAAGATGTGCCTGATTCCTCAGCCAACTCCATGGTGGCTCATAAGGACTGCTTTGCTTTATTTTTGAGACAAGGTCTCTAGTAGTCTAGCCTGGCCTTGAACTGTGATTTCCAGAGCCTCAGCCTCTGCCTCCTGATTGCTGGGATTACAGACCTGTGCCACTGTGTCTAGTTTAAGAGGTGCTAGGGACCAAATTATAAGCAAATAATCTATGGACTGAGCTGTTTTACCAGCCCCTATGTCACCCTTTTTGTTTTGTTTTGCTTGAGGCAGGGTTTCTGTGTAGCCCTGGCTGTCCTGGGACTTGCTTTGCAGACCAGGCTGGCCTCACACTCACTCACAGAGATCCTCCTGCCTCTGGCATGCACCAGCCTCTAAGTCAGCACTTTAAATAACTTTGGTGACTGTGAGAGAGATAGCTCAGCGAGTAAAGTGCTTGTCTCACATGCAGGAGAACCTGATCTCAGTCCTGGAATCCATGGGAAGAAGAGGGCTGCCAACCGGGCAGTGGTGGTGCAAATCTTTAGTCCCAGCAGTTGGGAGGCAGAGGCAGGAGAATCTCTGTGAGTTCGAGGCCAGTCGGGGCTACAGAGCGAGTTCCAGGACAGCTAAAACTGCTGATCACCTGCCGGTGGAGTTACAGAAGATTGGGAGTTACCCCACTAAGGTACTGGGAATCAAAGTTGGGTCCTCTGCAAGAATAGTATGCACTCTTAACCACTGAATCATCTCTCCATACGCTTTCCCTAAATGTACATAGCTATGATAAGCTTTAATTTATAAATCTGACTTTTTTTTAGCTGGGTGGTGGTGTCACACTCCTTTAATCCCAACACTCAGGAGGCAGAGGCAGGAGAATCTCTGTGAGTTCCAGGCCAGCCTGGTCTACAGAGTGAGTTCCAGGACAGTCAGGACTGCACAAAGAAACCCTGTCTTGAAAACAAAAACAAACAAACAAACAAACAAACAAAAATCTGACATCTTTTGGCTTCCATTGGCACATTATAAATAGAGACATACACTTACATGTAATTAAAAAATAAAATAAATCCTGTTTTTAAAAGATAGGTTTGGAGCTGGAGAGACGGCTCAGTTAAGAGCACTTGCTTTTCTTGCAGAGGATCCAGGTTTGACTCCCAGCATCGACATGGTGACTCACAACTGCCTGTAGATCCAATTTCAGGGGATATGATGCCTTCTTTTGGCTTCCATGGGCACCAGGTACACACATGATGCATATGCAAAACATTCATACATATAATTTTAAAAGATAGGCTTATAAATAACATATGACATTAGTGATAAGTTATCTTTACTGGAAATCAAGAATGTGAACTAATTCTGGTATATGATCTTACTTCTGAGAGTATCTTGTGAATGTATTTTAGTCTGTCCTTGGTGGGAAGCAGCAAGGTGCATCTTTTAAATAGTAGACCTGAGAAAGGAAAGAGACATTAGAAAAAATGACAACACTGAAATTAATTAAAGTTATCAACAGCATAGTGTAGCAGACTTTCTTGGACTGCCAGCCCCCAAATCATGACACTGTGACCTATTATTATTAGTTATGAATGTTTGGCCTTATCTTATGCTTGTCCCACTACCTCTTAAAACTTATTTTAACTTGTTTCTTTTCATCTACATTTTGCCTCAGGGCTTTTTAGCTATCTTTCATTCTGTTTTTCCTACTTTCCTGTTTCTTCCTGTCTGTCTAACTTCTGGCAGCTAGCTGCCTGACTGGCCCTGGGCATCTCCCTCTCTTTCTCTCTCATGCTCACTATCTCTCTCTCTCTCTCTCCCTTAGATTCCTCCTCCTACTTTTCTCTCTGCCTGTCAGCCCCACCTATCCTTCTACTGCCTAGTTGTTGGCCATTTAGCTTTTTATTAAACCATTCAGGTACCTCAGGCAGGCAAGGTGAGATAGCAACACATCTTTACATAGTTAAACAAAGGCAGCACAAACAAATGCAACACACCTTTAGATAGTTAAAGTAATATTCTGCAACAGTCTAGTACAACGTTTCCTTAAAATTAAGTATGTTGGTCAGGTAGTGTTGGTGCACACCCTTAATTCCAGCACTTGGGAGGCAGAGGCAGGAAGATCTCTGTGAGTCGAGGCCAGTCTGGTCTACATACTGAGTTCCAGGCCAGCTAGGGCTATATATTTTCTGTCTCAAATTTTTTTCTCTTAAGTGTCATTAAGTATTTAAGATTTCAGAGGTTACAAGTCAGTTTCAGTTTTGCTAACATAAACAATACAGATTGGATTAAATACCTATCTCTCTCCAAAGATTCAAAGAGTTAAACCTTTTTTTTTTTTGACAGAGTTTCTCATACTTTTTTTTTTGACAGAGTTTCTCATACTTTTTTTTTTTGACAGAGTTTCTCTATGTAACCTTGTTACATAAAACTCATGAAACTAGCAGTGTAAATCAGGTTAGCCTTGAACTCATAGAGATTTGTCTGCCTTTGCATCCGGGTTCTGGAATTGAAGGTATGCACCACCACACTTGGCTTTATTTAACTTTTCTATGTATAAGTGTTTCATTGACACATGCTATGTGCACAGAGCATTGGATCCCCTGGAATCGGAGTTACAGACTGTTGCAAACCACCACGTGGGTGCTGGAAATCAAACCCAGTTTCTCTGCAAGAGCAACCAGTGCTCTTAGTCACTGAACTACCTCTCCTTCTCTAAGATATTTCGCAGGGCATATATGTTAATAAGGTGTAGGATTCTGTTTCATGACATTGAAAACAAACAAAAAAAAACCCCTTCCAATTCTCAGTAAGATGCTGTTTGAACTATAGTGACAAGAAGTGTATAATTTATTTCCCCTAAATAGTTTGTTTTCCTAAAATGGCAATACATTGTTAACATTCCTGTAAGGACAAATGGCATTCACTAAAAATGGTATGTGTGGTAGGGGAAGATACTCTTGAATATCACCACTTTCTCCAGTTTTACTCCTTACATAATATAACCACCACTTCTCTACATTTACTCTTTACATAATAAAATGCTTATATAATCCTGAAGATCTATAGGAATCATTTAATTTTAGAAGTTGCTATGTTTGCGTAACACATGACCAGAACTGAACTTTAAACATAAACCCTCTTGCTTATAGGAAGTATTTTCAGTGTTTGGCTTTAGTCTGCATTCTTTTCCTTTCATGTTTTGGCATTGTGTCTCATGCTATATCATACTGGAACTGCAAGCTATAATTGCATACTGCTTGCCTTTTCTACTGCAGATTTCCTATTTTTAAGGATTGCGGTTTATCATAAAACCTTACTGTTTAGCTGACTTTTTTTTCTAAACACAGGTACTCTTTTTTAGAGACCAAGTTCTCCTAGTAAAATAATGTCAGATGCAGTATTCTTTCCATATTGGCCATCTGCTCTGTTCAGTAGAAAATGCAAATTAAATTTATAATCCTCAAAGTTAAGATTCTGAAAAATGTTATTTTAATATCTAAAAACAGGAACAGATCAAATAAGAAGGAAAGCATGGGAAAATGCCGAGTGAGTCAAACATTTACCAAAAAAACCAGTCATAAAGCAGGTATCTACAAAAACCTGAACAGAAAATTAAAGTTAATTTATTAATCAAACCTTTATTGAAGATTAGGTATTAAGGTCAATGTTTATATATTTTTAATTGAATTACCCATGTAATTATTTTTTGTTTTCAATGTGGTGCTGATGATAGAACCTAGGACCTTATTTATTTATTTGAGACCATCTCAGGTAGCCCAGACTGGCCACATATTCACTATGTAGCTAAAACTGGCCTTGAATTTCTCACTCTATTGCCTTCACTTCCATAGTGTTATGATTAATAAGCTTGGACCACAGTTAGGCAAGAACTCTGCCATTGGATTCAATTCCCAGACAATATCGTTGGGTTTGCTAAAGCAGTTAAGACTTGGTCAGTTAAAAAAAAAAAAATTCCTTTAGACCAAACCCAAAAAACAATCATCAAGTACTTGCCATATTCAGTTCCAGGCTTTCCCAAATCTATTTCTAAACATTGAACCAACAACACTGTATTGAGACTATTTTCTTAAAAAATTTTACTTATTTGTCTATATTTTCCCTGTATATGTATATGTATGCACACACACGCGCGCGTGCACACACACACACACACGCCTGAGGCAGTCAGAAAAGGGTGGTGGATCCCCTGGAACTGGAGTTACAGACAGTTGTGAGCTACCATGTGAGTGCTGAGAACTGAACCCAAGTCCTCCAGAATAACAGTCAGTGTTCTTAACCTCTGAGCCATCTCTCCAGCCCAGATTATTTTCTTTCCTTCTTTTTTTCCTTCCTTCCTTCTTTCTTTCTTTCTTTTTTTTTTTTTTTTTTTGGTGCAGCTGGAGACTGAATTTAGGTTCTCATTCCATGCTTGCTAGAGCAGGTTCTGCCACTGAGTCTCTCTAAATTGCTCAGGTTGGCTTTGAACTCTATAGTACAGGCAGTGTACTATATTTCCAATCCTCCTGCTTTAGCATCTCAAACAGCTGATATTACAGGCCTATACCACAAGCCATATTTGAGGAATCTGCATATTACTTCTCTCTTTTAAAGCTAGGCATTCTTATGTTTCTGAATGGCAAGATTCACTAAAGGTAAGATTCACTTGACTTACTATCATATGTTTATTTAAATCTCAACAACATCCTGATATTTGCTTTTATTGTCATGTGTTGGTTAATTATATTTTAGTTTCAGAGATAAATTGCTATCATTAGTCAAACTAAAATTAGAATTTTATTTCAGCACTCTAGGGAAAATAAAATCAATAAATGGAGTAAAAGATACAAATTATTTTATATCAAGAGAAGAAAAAATGATATAGTATTTCCTTGTTAAGGTCAATTTAATTATAGTATAATGGTCATTATACTATAGTTAAATAGAGTACTTAAAAAAGAAAATCACAGATTCTGATAAGAGAGTAATGATCTTCCAATAAGGTGTCTAAATATACTTTCTTTTGTTTTGTTTTCCAAGATAGGATTTTTTTTTTTGGTGTGTGTGTGTGTGTGTGTGTGTGTGTGTGTAGCCCAGGCTTTCCTGGAAATTGCTCTGTAGACCAGGCCGGCCTCAAACTCAGAAATCTACCTGCATCTGCCTCCCAAGCGTTGGGGTCAAAGTCATGCACCAGCACTCTTACACTTTTAAGGACTAGATTATGGCTGAAAAGGAATATAAGTACAGAATAAAATCTAGCTGGCCATGGTGGCACACACCTTTATTCCAGCACTTAGAAGGCAGAGGAGGCAGATCTCTGTGAGTTTGAGGCCAGCCTGGTCTACAAAGCAAGTTCCAGGACATCCAGGACTCTTACACAGAGAAACCCTGTCTAGAAACACCAAACAAACAAACAAACAAGCAAAAACTCTAAGTCACAAGAAACAGAGATAAAACACATAGAAAACACATCAACACCCTAAGCTGTTATATCACCTAAATAACAGCACAGGTTACACTATATCCATGTAAAATTTCAAAGACAGGCACTTTACATTAAAGATTATTTGTTTAATTTAGTTAGGATTAAATATCTGTTCCTTTTCCCCCGAAAAGGTTTCATGAAGGTGGCCATAAACTCACTATGACCTTGAACTTCTGATCCTCTATCTTCTAACTCTTGAGTACTGGGGTAACAGGCAAGTGCCACAAACAGGCAGTTTATTTGGTGCTAGGGATAAAACCCAGGAAATCGTGAATGCTAGGCGAGCACTCAAGCAACTGAGCTACACTCTCAGTCGTAGAAAGGTGTTGAGGCAGAGTCTCACAGCTTTGTCCAAGCTGACCTAGAATTTAGGAACTCACTGTAGGGCACAGGCTAGGCTCAAACTATGATTCTTGGGTTTGGGTTTTTCATATGCTAGGATTACAATTGTGAGCCGCTGTGTTCAGCTTTCATCTTTAAAGTATGTAGGACTACTGTTAAGGATTTTACATTGAAAATAAAAATGCTATAGAAAAAAGGAAAATTTCCAGGAAATAGTTTTACAGAATTATATAATAAAATATACATATTTTTTGTTGTAGTTTGCATTTCATAAATTACCTAGAGCTCTGTAGTGCTCCCGTAGATGAGTATCTTCTGTGCCAGACAGATCAAGGTTATGAAAGTTCTGGATTAAAAGTCTTCTACTTCCAGATGAAGTTGAGATATAATTAATTATATGCTGGCTGACTGTTTTGGACACCATGCTTAACATGCCAATATCCTTCACTATCAAAAAAATAAATTTAAAACAAAAACCAAAGAGAAAAACAAATAAATTTATATAAAATATGGGTGCAAATGATTTAAATCACTGTTTGTATACTCTATTAACTTAGGTTAACTCACTAATAATACAAATGACTTAAATACAAAAGCATCACCATTACTAAAGTCTATTAACTTATAAATTAACTTATTAATAATGAACCTAGTGCCAGGTGTGTTGACTTACAGCTGTAATTTCAGCACCTGGGAGGCTGAGGGAGACAAATTGCCAGGTGTCTGAAGCCAGCCTGGGCTGTAGAGTAAGTTCCAGGATAAGCCTGGGCTATGCGTGAAAACCTGTTAAAAAAAAAAAAGAAAGAAAGAAAGAAAGAAAGGAAGAAAGAAAGAAAGAAACCTAGTGCTTAAAAAGATCTTAACATTGTCTTAAACCTAGTTCTCTTCCATCTTACACCTGTAAGAATGGCCAAGATCAAAAACACTGATGACAACTTATGCTGGAGAGGTTGTGGGGGGAAGGGAACACTTCTGCATTGCTGGTGGGAGTGAAAGCTGGTACAACTTCTTTGGATGTCAGTGTGGCAATTTCTCAGAAAATTAGAAAACAATCTTCCTCAAGACCCAGTAATACCACTTTTGGGCATATATCCAAAGGATGCTCAATCATGCCACAAGGACATGTGCTCGACTATATTTATAGCAGCTTTGTTTGTCATAGTCAGAACCTGGAAACAACCTAGATGCCCCTCGATCAAAGAATGGATAAGAAAAATGTGATACATTTACACAATGGAGTACTACACAGCAGAAAAAAATAACAACAGCTTGAATTTTGCAGGAAAATGGATGAAGCTAGAAAACATTATTTTGAGTGAGGTAACCCAGACACAGAAAGACAATTATCACATGTACTCACTCATAGGTGGTTTTTAAACATAAAGCAAAGAAAGCCAGCCTACAAATCACAATCCCAGAGAACTTAGACAACAATAGGAACACGAAGAGAGACTTACACAGATCTAATCTACATGGGAAGTAGAAAGTAGAAAAAGACAAGATCCCCTGAGTAAATTGGGAGCATGGGGACCTTGGGGGAGGATTGAAGAAGGGAGGGGAGAGGCAGGGAGGGGAGCAGAGAAAAATGTAAAGTTCAATAAATATCAATTAAAAAAAGCAACTACTAGTTTTAAATGTTTTACATTGGATTGGACTTTTGTACATTGATACAAATTTGAGATTAATTTTGTTAAAACATTCTGTTCATATGTCTCCAATCTTGTTCAAAGTATTGTACCTATACAGCTCATTTAACAATGTAATACAAATTTCTAGCCTTTGAAAGTTATTATTACCAACTGTTTAGGATAATAAGGAAATGCAGGTTAGTAATTAGTCACCTATTATCATCGAACTTGTAGTCACATTAGGTATGTTTTCAAGGTCAAAGAAAGATATATTTTAGATAGACAAGTCATCTTCAAACACTTCAGAGATCTAAAGAGTATGGCATTTAGGATGTTGTAATAACACAGGGTCTTTTTTATGGCAATGAGACATGTCTGCTCCTGGTAGCACCAATCAACTGCAGAGAAGATAATGGGCATTGAAGATGCTACGCAGTTTACTTTCTTTGTGGCAAAAGTAAGCCACTGGGCAAGAAAATACCCTTGCCTCAACTGCTGACAGCATGCTGTCCTAATAGTACAAACAGGACACAAAAGAAAGTGACTGCCAAACATTGTCAAAACAGGAGGAACAGTCCTTCAGAATATCCTGCTTCACAGAAAAGTGCAGAGGAACTTTGGGTGACTGTCCAGACAGTCAGATGTTTCTGTCATTTCTCACATTTTTTTTGGAAGTTACTTGCTTGCACTTCCTGCTTACACAGTTAATATTATCTCCTTTTTGGGACTCTAAGGGAGTTGAAGACTAGATAGTTATAGTTTTCCTTGTTTACTTGAGGCAGAAAGCAGGTTATAATAGAAAGTAAATTGGTACAATAAAAAGTAATAAATATAGGACTTTGGACTCACCAAGATAGGATAGATATGGAGCATTTTCTTTGAATTTGTCAAATGTAAAAAAAAAAACCCACCTAGTTCTCATTAGAAACATGCTGGGAACTAACAATCGAGCTACCACATTATTACTATTCAGATAATTCAGAGGTGGTAGTAGTTGTTTTGTTGTTTTTTACTTGAAACAGAGTCTCTCTGTGTAGCACTGGCTATCCTGGAACTCACTCTGTAGACCAGGCTGGCCTCTATCCTTAAGTGCTTCATTTAAGGACGTGTGCCACTACTTGCTGGGTGTTGATTTTTTTTTTTTTTTGAGACTGGGTAAGTTTTGTCTGTCCTGAAGCTTGCTATGTAGACCAGGATGGTCTGACACTCAAACAGATACTCCTGCTTCTGCCTCCCAAGTGATGGGATTTAAGGCATGTGCCACCATGCCTGGCAAAACTTTTGTTTTTTGACAGGATCTTGTTATGTAGCTCAGGCTGGCCTGATATTGTGATCTTGCCTTAGCATCCTTGGTGCTGAAACTACAGATAAGTGTTGTATCCTGTCTACGATTTTTTTTTTAAATTTTAATATTATTGTGGACAGTCCTCATGGTACCGCCACACCGGCTGTGTCTTATAGTCTCCTAAGTAAACTTCTCTGTAGAAAAAAAGTAAAAGTGACAGAGAGGAGAGAGACAGAGGAGAGGAAGCAAGAATGGTGGAACTTTACACTTAAACTTAGCTAAAAGACAGAGAAGTGGGTGGTGGACCCTTAGAAAAATGAACTCATTATGAATGTTATCAGCATTCTCGAAAGATATTAATATAGCTGAAATAAAGAGGACATTATAATATTCTAATATCTTATATAACATATTTCTATTCCCCAAATCTCACCTGACAAATATCTTAAAATTATGTGGAATATTTCCAATGGTAAGACTTTAAAATTTCCAAGCGTAGATAAGAGTTGAGGATCTAAATCAGGGGTGTTGAAAAAATAGCTGGACTGGTGGTTAGTACGTTTACATTTCTGGTTGGGTATCAAAGTTAAACTGGTATTTACTCTAGACGCCATCTTTTCTTATTCCATGAATTTATCCTGGTTAGAAAAATAAAGTACAAGACACAAAGAAAAAAAATTAAGGCAATGAAGTTGTTTCTTTTTAGGTTGGGAGTTACACTTTCTCTTCTTCCTCCCCCCCACCCTTGTGCTGCTGATCAAACCCTGGGCCCTAGGCAGGCCAGACAAGCACTTTACCAAGTGAGGTCCAGCTCCAGTCTAAGGTGCACACAGTGATGGGCAACACCTGCTGCCTTTCCACACTAGAAAATACTTACTATGATGTGTAACTGCGGTACACGCATCAGGAGTCTACTTATCTATCTTGGCATTATTTGAAAAACCTTTTAAATCCTTATCACCTTTTGGCATCCTATCTATTTTTAGATAGAATAAGACTTTTAGTAAGAAATTAAACATTTAGTCAGGAGGTGGTGGTGCACATCTTTAATCCCAGCACTCGGAAGGCAGAGGCAGGTGGATCTCTGTGAGTTCAAGACCAGCCTGGTCTACAGAGTGAGTTCCAGAAGACTTCAAAAAAAAAAAAAAACAACCCTGAAAAACACAGAAAAACCCTGTCTTGAAAAATCAAAAACAAACCAAAACAAAACTAGGTGTGGAGTCACATGTTTGTAACTCCAGAGGTGGAGGCTAATGGATCACAAATTCAAGGCAAGGCAGGGTTGTTGAGACCCTATGTGTAAAACAAACAAAAAAGACATTTGGCAACCTGAATTCACTGTCCAATATGAATTTTGTTAAGTATGAAGAAACATCTATCATCAATATATTTCGATTACTCTTTTTTTTGTTTTGTTTCTGAGACTAGTTCTCTCCCTTAGCACTGGTTGTCTTGGAACCTCTGTGTAGATCAGGCTGACCTTGAACTCACAGAGATTCCTTTGCTTTTCCTTCCTGAGTGTTGGAATTAAAGGCATGCTCCATCAGGCCTAATTTACTTTTACAGTTTTTTTTTCCCCCTCCTCAGACAGAGTTTTTCTGCATAGCCCTGGAACTCACTCTGTACACCAGGCTGGCCTTGAACTCAGAGATCTGCCTATTTCTGTCTCCTGAATGTTGGGATTAAAGGCCTCTGGCATTAGGCTGGCTTACTTTTACAACTTTTATAGACAAAAAAATTAAAGTATTAATGTAGCTTTAAATATTTTAAGAAATATTTTTATGTTTCATTAAAACTGTGTACTGACAGTCTTCTGTTACAAACAGTAAAAACAAAACAAAAAAAACCAGACATTTTAATTTTAGAGCAATTTGAATGTACCACCTTTAACAAATTAAAGCTGGGAGCAATACAATTACAAACTGTGTACTGAATAATACACAAATAAGCAGTGACATTGAAGTTTTGGAAATATCTATTCAGATCAGTTATTATTATTATTATTTTGGTTTTTCGAGATAGAGTTTCTCTGTATAGCTCTGTATACAGAACTTGTTCTGTAGACCAGGTTGGACTCGAGCTCACAGAGATCTGCCTGCCTCTGCCTCCCGAGTGCTGGTATTAAAGGCATGCGCCAACACCGCAGGCCGAATCAATTATTTTTTAAGGAGATTTGAGAATAGAATCTAACTATGTGGCTCAAGTTGTTGTCAAATTTGATGAATTTCTGCTTCAGTCTTCCAAGTACTGGGATAAAAAGTGTATTACCACTGAAAGCATCTTGCGAAAAATTAAAGTTAAAAGTGTTGGGGAATCTCCAGCTTGGGGGATGGGGGTGGAAAACATTCCAAACGCTGCCCTCAGCAGCGCCAAGCTCTCCAGACCCCGCCCAAAGACAGCCCACCAAGGGTTAGCTCCTCCCCAGGGGCTGTTCATGACCACGCCTACAGGGTATTTAAGACCTGATTGCCAACCCCTACATGTGATTTTTCTCCCCTGTCTTTCTGAGGATTACCTGGGAGTTGCTTTGCTCTGTTTATTAAATTCAGCCTGATTAAAAAAAATGGCTTGATTGGTTTATTGCATCAGTGGAGGATACCCAGTAACTGTAGATGCAATACTTAAAAATAAGGTTACACAAGAGGTGAACAACACATTTTCCTTCTTTCTAGTATTTGTTAGTAACAGTTATAATTATGTGTCAATACATGTTTTTCTATAAGAATATGTATTTTAGTATTTTCATGTAATTCCAAGTGGAAGAATTCTGATTGAATTTATCAACGATGTTGTTTTTAAATTTTAATTTTTTTGTTTTGTTTTATATTTTGAGAAGGGTAATCTTTACGGAGCCCTAACTTACCTTGAATTCGCTCTATAGACCAGGCTGGCCTCCCCAGTGCTGGAATTAAAGGTGTGTGCCGCCACCACCCGACTTAATTTTAACTTTTAACAGAATTTTAAAGTATTTTCACTATAACAAAATATAAATTTGACTTAAGTTTCTGATTTGTGCCTCTTCCAGGAACTTCCACCCTAGTCAGGCTAGGGTGGGGTTTGTGGGCCCTTCAAAGGGTCATTGACCGCCTCCTCCCAGGGGGCTTTATCATCTGCTAACAGTGTAGACACATGTGTATGTATAATTTTTCATTTAAATCTCTGAAAGACTAAAAATAACGGCCCCAGTTATTTCAAAACTTAAGTCTCGATCAGGCAGTGATGGCATGTCTTTAATACCACTACTCAGGAGGCAGAGGCAAGAGGATCTCTGTGAGCTTGAAGCCAGCCTGGTCTACAGCGTGAGTTCAAAGCCAGCCAGGGCCACATAGAGAACCACTGCCTCGAAAAATCCCAAAAGCCTTAAGTCTCTTATTTTCCTCACTCAGACCTATTTTAGAGGTGGAGGAGGGCAGGTTTTTCTGAAACACTAACGGTGCCCACCAAACTATTTCTCGTTTCCTCTTAGCCTTCTAGAGTATGGAGCTCCTAAACACAAACGACAATAGGGTATTTTTTCCCCCTTCTGGATGGCTGGTGTCGAACTCTTGAATCTCCTGTCTGCCTCACTCAGCCTTCGACAGAGCTGGGTGACAGGCCAGCTCGTCCCACCCACTAAGGGGCGCGGCGGGGGGGGGGGTTGTCTAGGGCCTGAACTTCGTCCCTGTCCCCGCATTCCCTTCCGGAGGGGGGTAAAGAACCCAGCAAAATACCGGGATTTGTTTGAACGTTCCGATGCCAGCCCTAAACGTCTGTCTCTAAAGAGGTCATCTAGGGGACCACAGAGGAAACTGGCCAACACGAAAGCCAAACAGGAGGCGCTGAAGAACACGGAACCATTTCCACAGGAAAGTATCGGGGAAGATAAAACACTCTTTACCACAGGTCTCGACAGTTTTCCGGCTACAGTGCCACAGGAAAGTGGGATTTAGTCGTCTGGACTCCCCATCCTCAGATTTCACAAAACTTAAAAAAAAAAAGAAAAGAAAAATCTCCTCAGGGTTTTCCCGCCAGAGAACAGGGGAGGATCTCGCTCGGCTCCGCTCTGTTCCGCCCCGCTCCGGAGTTGCCTTCTCAGATCTCGGGCGCCCCTGGCGCCTCAAGAGTGTTTTAGAATTCTCCCAGGAGCCCCCGCGGGCGGAGGCCCCGCCCCCTCGCCAACAGCGGGGACCTGGCCGGCTCGCCTTCCCAGGAAACCCCCGGAGGCCCCGCCCCTCAGGGGTGCTCACCCGAGGTTCCCATGGTGCCCTGCCGCCGCCTGACGCGTTAGCCTCGCCACCACCGGTTCAGCGCCCAGCTGCGGACCTTTATGGTCGGGAGGAGCGAAGGTGTCAAATAAGAGTTCAAACGTGGGAGCGTCACATGCCTACCGCTCCACTTCGTTGTTTTACTTCCTTCTTCTCCCCCCCCCCCCGCCGACAGACAGGGTTTCCCTGTGTAGCTGAATGTTCTGGAACTCGCTCTGTAGAGCAGGCTGGCCTCGAACTCACAGAGATCCGTCTGCCTCCCGAGGCTTGCGCCACCACCGCCCGGCCTCCATTTGGTTCTTTACACTCGGTTTTAAGGCCGTTTTCGATTCCCTCCACCCACAAGTCAACAGGGTTTGTCACAGAGCTTTTCTCAAAGGTTGTTGGATGCCAGGTGTGATGGCACATCCCTATAATCCCTGCACAGAGAAGATGGAGGCAGGAGGACTAAACCAGCCTGTACCTCTGTACCTCTGTACCTCTGTACCCCCCAAAACAATGTTAAGTTCTCATGTATTTACAGATCCTGTGTCGGCTTCTCTTTCTTCCTTCTTCTTCTTCTTCTTCTCTTCTTCTTCTCTTCTTCTTCTTCTTCTTCTTCTTCTTCTTCTTCTTCTTCTTCTTCTTCCTCTTCCTCTTCCTCTTCCTCTTCCTCCTCCTTCCTCTTCTTCTTCCTCTTCCTCCTCCTCCTCTTTTTTTTTTTTTTTGAGACAAGAACTCCTTTGGTAGCCTAGGTTAGCCTGAACACACTGACTCTAGTCATTTAGAGTACTGAGATTATAGGCATACACCAACACTCCGGGATTGATTCAGTGTCCGTGGAAGCCTTAGACACAACAGAGAATGATACATATGTTTCCTGCCGTAAGGGGTTTTACTAAAAACTATTGCAGTAAAAAGAATGAACAAAGTAGCTGGGTTACAGAGGAAATAAGGCAACAGAGACGGACATGTGTTGGAGGATGAGCTAGGAGAGATGGTCTGGATTATAAAGGTCTCTTTGTGGAGGGTGATAATTAATTTGAGAAATTGATGGAGAAGGCACCTATTGGGGACAGGCTGAAGGAAGATTGAAAAGAGTCTCCTATTTCAGAGTGATCAGTTTTATATTAAAGCCAAAAGTTCTTAATGTATAAACAAAATACACCACATGTGCTCATACACATACACACACACACACACACACACACACACACAGAGGCACACTGTGACTGAACCTGGGCTACGTGAGACACTCACAAAAATCTGGGTTGATTCGACATGCTGTCATATCATTAGTACAAATACCTGTCCATGATTTCTTAATAGCTCTTTTTCTTCCCTCTCCCACCCCAGGATCTCTGTGTTGTAGTTTGAATATAACTGGCCCCCATGAGCCCAAAGGGGGTGACACTATTAGGAGGTGTGACTTTGTTGGAGTAGGTCTGGTCTTATTGGAGGAAGTGTGTCACTATGGAGGTGGGCTTTGAGATCTCATATATGCTCAAGATACCACCCAGTGTCCCAGTGTACTTCCTGCTGCCTGCATATCAACATGTAGTAGGTATTTCTCCAGCACCATGTCTGCCTGCACGCCACCATGTCCCACCATGTTAATGAACTGAACCTCTGAACTGCAAGCAGTCACCCCAATTAAATGTTTTTCTTTATAAGAATTGCCATGGTCATAGTGTCTCTTCACAGCAACAGAAAACCTAAGACAAGCCAGGCAATGATGGCACAAGCCTTTAATGCCAACACTTGGGAGGCAGAAGTAGGTGGATCTCAGTGAGTTCAAGGCCAGTTTGGTCTACAAAGTGAGTTCCAGGACAGCCAAGACTGTTACAGAGAGAAACCTTGTCTCAAAAAACAAAACAACAGCAAAAAGAAATCCTAAGACATCTGTGTCTTTATAGTTCTGTCCTGAAACTTGCTCTGTAGACCAGACTGGCCTGAAACTCCCAGGGATCTTCCTGCCTCTGCCTCCTGCCAGCTGAGAGGGCTAGGACGCAAGGGGCTAGGACACAAGGAATGTGCCATAATTCTCTGTCCATTTCTTTTTCTTTTCTTTTTTTAAAGATTTATTTATTACGTATACAACATTCTGCCTCCATATATGCCCGCATGCCAGAGGAGGACGCCAGGTCTTACTACAGATGGTTGTGAGCCACCATGTGGTTGCTGGGAATTGAACTCAGGACCTCTGGAAGAGCAGCCAGTGCTCTTAACCACTGAACCATCTCTCCAGCCCCCTGCCCGTTTCTTTTTCTACCATGTGGTTTCTTGGGATCAAACACAGGTCATCAGGCTTGGCAGAGAGGAAGAAGACAGGAATGAATTCCAGGCAAGTCAGTAGAAATGAAACACGTTTACTGACATATGCAGAGGAAGGAACATTTCTAATGCAGACTTTATTTATTTATTTATTTATTTATGGATAAAGGGCTTATTACTTTGGTTTATAGTTCCAGAGGAATAGAGTTTATCATGGCCGTGGCAATAGCGTGGCAGGGCAGGAACCAGTCGCTGGCTGATCATACTGCATCCACACTCAGGAAGCAGACCTATTCATAGTTGGAGACAGGAGCTCTCTATGTAACCCAGGCTAGCTTCTAGCTTGTGATCCTTCTGCCTCAGTGTCCCAAGTGCTGAGATCATAGGTCTGCATCACCATGTCTAACATCACTATGTTGAATTTTTGTCTCTAGTTCGGGGTTTCTCTCCCAACATTCAGATCTTAAAACCAACTGCCCCTTGACAGCTCTACTCAAGTATGAAATTTATTAAACCAGTCAGTAGGTGCCTTGGCAAAGACACATCTTCACAGTGTACAAAAGATCATTCTACAGTATGTGTGTGCTCTTGCACTTGGGTCATTCCCTGGGTGCCATCTACCTTGCTTTTTGACACAGGTCTCCCATTGACCGTTAACTCAGCGAGTAGGTTGGGCTGGCTAGCCAGTGACCGCATCCTTGGCATTGGGATAACAAGTGCACAGCACACGGCAAGGTGTGGTGGGACCCCACTCTCGGCCTCATGCTTGCCTGGCAAACATTTTACTCCTTGAGCATCTCTTCAGCCCTTGAAATCAACTTTGAACTTACATTTTCTTTTCTTTTTTAAATTAAATTAAATTTTAAAAATTTATCGATTTTATGTGTATAGGTGTTTTGCCTGCATGTATGCCTGTGTACCACATGGGCCAAAGTTGATGTTGGATCCCTTGGGACTGGAGTTATGGACAGCTGTGAGCTGCCAGGTGAGTGTGGGAATTGAACCCAGGTCCTCTGGAAGGACAGCCAGTGCTCCAAACTACTGAGCCATTTCTCCAGCCCTGCAGTTATGTTTTCAGTTTGCAGTGAGTTTAACAACATATAACACCATTGTAGTCAATAATATCTTATACAAACAACAACAACAGTGAAATTATAAACATACACAAGTGAAGAGTGTGTGGAACCAGGGGCTGTTGCAGACAGAGCCTTAGAGTATATCGGGTTGACTAGATTTCATCCCTAAATAAGACTTTGGTATAAAGATAGCTTCATGGGGGAGCTAGGGAGATGGTTCAGTGACTAAAAGCACTGGTCTCTCTTCCAGAGGACCTGAGCTTAATACCCAGCAACCACATAGTGGGTTACTACTATCTATCATGGGATCTGGTGCTCACTTCTGGCATGCAAGCTTACATACAGACAGAGCTCTCATACCAAGCAAAAAATCACTTTATGATTAGAAAGTCTTTATTTTTTTCTCAGATGAGGTCACCAAATTCCAAGGTCAATGTCTTTCCCAAAACTTTCAACAGTTTCATTCGTTACATTAAATTTGGATGGAAAATGGTATTTTAAAAAGACAACTATAAAATAATATGTATAGTGTTATGCCATGCAGTAGAATACTGTACATATTATTTTATAGTTGTAATGTGCTGGTAATCCTGGTACTCGGGAGGCAGAAGCAGCGGGGGATCTCTGAGTTCAAAGCCAGCCTGGTCTATAGAGTGAGCTGCAGGACAGCCAGGGCTACCCAGAGAAACCCTGTCTCAGGAAACAAAAACAAAAAAGATTAAGAGAGATTTATATTTTTCTATATTTCTTGTCCGAGTTTTCTAAACTTACTCCCAAGCCCATAGTGTTTTATCTATTAGGAAAAGTATTTAAACTATGTTCTGTTGTACATTACCACAAATGGAAGAGATAGTGGAGGAAAGTATTTGGGGATATTTTTAAATGGATGTCATCATAAACTGCAATAAATGGAAGGATTAAAATATGCAGGCCAATGACAGCTGTCTGGGAATTCACGGGGCAGCGGGGCAAAGAGCACAGCACTGAGTGGGCAGTGGGTGTTGTCTGCTTTCCCAGGGTCTTTTCCTGACTCCCTCTCAGAAGAGCTCCCTTTCCGACACACACTTAGAAAAATATAGGGTTTGGATTCTGAAATAGCGGGAATTCAGGAACTCCATCCAGAAAGTCCATTCATTCATTCATTCATTCATGCATTCATTCATCTTATATCTTAACACAGTGGTGGGTGCGAATTCTGGGAAGAATGTGGTTCTGTTTGTTGGTTAGTTGGTATGCTCTTGGAGAGAGGGTCTCATTATGTAGCCTTAGCTGGCCTGCAGCTCACTATGTAGCCTGTGCTGGCTCACAAGGTCCACCTGCCTCTGTCTTCAAGGTGTTGGGAGTACAGGCATATGCCATTGCTCCAGGCAATAGGAACTGGGTGTGGTATGTAGAGAGACTGTGTCTCAAAAAACAAAATGAATCAAAGCAAAAAGCCTTAGGGACAACCTGCTGCATGTGGTGGCTCCTGCCTGTAATCGCAGCATTCGGAAGGTAGAGGCAGGAGTTCGAGATTGTTCTT